ATAGACTTGGGATCGCTGCTGGGTAGGCGAACAGACCTATTGGTCGGAACTCCCCGCCTGAGGTCGGAACAAAGACGTTACAGCGTTCTTCTGTCTATCCAAAGATTAGAACTCTATAGATATAGTTGTATTATAGTCTCAGTTTTATTTTGGTTTTTTTTATGTTATTGATAATTTTGGTTCAAATATTGTAACTACCCCATGTTTTGTTGAAAAATAATTAAATCTCGTTGTATTTACTCAGATTTAATTGTTCCAAAAATTCCTTACCTAACGTTTTATAAGTCCAGAAGCACAGCTGGCCTTCTCCTCATACCCGCGTCAACTTAACTTAAGTCACGCCGATGGGACAAGAGGACTTAAATGCATGAGTCTTTACACAGTTCATGGAAGCAGAGTTATACTTGAGGACAAAAAAGGGAGAATTTGTTTATCTTTAGAATAGACTTGGGATCGCTGCTGGGTAGGCGAACAGACCTATTGGTCGGAACTCCCCGCCTGAGGTCGGAACAAAGACGTTACAGCGTTCTTCTGTCTATCCAAAGATTAGAACTCTATAGATATAGTTGTATTATAGTCTCAGTTTTATTTTGGGTTTTTTATGTTATTGATAAAACGTCCTGTGGGTAGTGGTCTGTTTATGTACTGGTGTAGTGATCCGAGGTGTTGACGCTCTATCACTTACCTATTTGTATTTGCTAGTAAGAGTAACAGGTACCTTCATTGTACATTGTTTAGTCCATATTCTAATTCTTTGAGATGTAATACAAGAGGCCCAATGGGCCTGAATCGCTCACCTGGTATTAATCTCACAAATAAACTTTAAAGTGAAGTTATCATGCATATAGACGGTCGGATACATGGACAGACAGAAAATGTAAATACTGGTACTTTATGCCGTTCCACTATATTTTGTCTGGGGACATAAATAGCTAACTTTATTGTATATGTATACTTCAAGATGCTCTAAAGTTATAACAGTTCCTGTTCTTAGTGGTCTATATGTTGACACCTTGATTTAGTCTTAGATATAATGACTGTACAATGTACATAGAGGATCTTACAAGAGTTTCCATTTCATATGAGATGTAAAAACCTGCCATTTTGACTCCAGTGGGTAATTCGGTGACGTCATGTACTTGTCCTAGACGTGACGTCACAATTGAAACAATTGAAACTTACAACCAATCATAGGGCTGTTAGGTCATATTACATGGGTTAATACGCAAAAAATATGACATGGGTACTGGATTATCACTGGATAACACTTACATTATGTGATAAAGATAAATATGAAACTCACAACACTGATCTGTTCATTA